CTTGTGATGTTTTAGTGTAGCGAACATCTCTGCTAGGTCGGTGAGGTGTTGAGACTTTTCCTTGCTCTTTTCCACCATATCATCTATGTAAGCCTCCATGGTGTGTCCCAGAAGGGGAGCAAACATCTTGGTTACCATCCTTTGAAAAGTTGCCCCGGCATTTTTCACTCCGAACGGCCTGAGTTTTTAACAATACAGGCCTCTTGGTGTGGTGAATGAAGTGATCTCCTGGTCTGGTTCATACATGGCTATCTGGTGGTAGCCGCGGTATGCATCCAGGAAGCTGAACCTCTGATGGCCAGCGGTCAAGTCCACCAGCTGGTCGATCCGTGGGAGGGGGAAACTATCTTTTGGGCACGCACGGTTGACCGTCTTATAGTCAACGCACACCTGCCACTTACCGTTCTTTTTTAGAACTACCACCGTGTTGGATATCCACCGAGGGTATTGCACTTCTTCTATGGCCCCAACGGCCAACAAGTTATTGACCTCTTCTGCCACTACCTCGGCATGGTGTAAGGCCGAGCGGCGTGTCCTCTGGATGACTAGCTGTGCATTTGGAAGAACGTTTAACTAGTGACAAATGAAACTAGGGTCGATGCCAAGCATATCGTAAGGCGTCCATGCGAAGGCTTCCATATTGGAAATCAGAAAGTCAGCGTACTCAAGTCGCTCAGCGCTAGACAGGGATGAGCCCAAAAGGAAGAACTTAGTTGGATCGTTCTCGTCGATGCGCACCTCCACCAGATCTTCGACTGATTTCTCCTCGGCCTTTCTTCCTACGTCTTCAAGGACTTCCTTTCCCTCTGGTCCCTTTATCATTTGGACAAACCCTTTGGTGGCTTGGCTGTCGTTCACAGCAACGAAGCACTGTTTTGCCATCACCTGGTCTCTCCAAACCTCTTCTATTTGCCCGGCTGGCGCCGGGAAGCGCAGAAGCTGATGGTAGGTCGATGCTACTGCTTGCATGGCATGCAACCAGCCCCTGCCCAAGATTAAGTTGTAGGTTGATGGGACCTTGAACACCCATAATTCTACTTGCTTTATGACCGAACCCGCTTTGACCGGCAAAATGATCTTTCCCACCGGCCATTCAGGCTGAGAGTTGAAGCCAACCAAAGGAGACGTGGCAGGGGCCAAGTCCTTATCCTCCAACTTCATTTGTTTGAATGCGTCGTAATACATGATTTCGACCGAACTCCCCTGGTCAATCAAGATCCTCTTGATGTCAAAGTCTTTGACGCGAAGAGTCACTACTAGGGCATCATTGTGGGGCATCTGAATTCTCTCCAAGTCCTTACTCGAAAAGGTAAGGATATCCTTCTCTTCGGTCTTCCCTTTCTTCATAGCAGGTGGAATGGAGAGCATTTCTCTCATGTGCTCGGCTTTCTTAATCATCCCTCTTAGCTCGCAGACCCTTGCCGGTTCAATGATGCCATGGATGACATTGATTACGCCTTGGGGCGCTGTCTCCAGGGCGGCTAGGCCGTTTGGCTTGGTTTATCCCAGTGGTGCAGCTTTCATACCCCCATCATTGTATCGGTCTAGATGTCCCGCCGCCACGAGCTCCTCCAAATGTTGTTTGAGCGGCAAGCAATCCTCCATTCGGTGCCCCCGTTCCTCATGAAAGGTGCAGCTATACCTTGAGTTGAAGCCTCTCTGTGTACTCCCCAACTTGGCCGGCCAGCGAACGGAGGGCTCACCTCGAATTTCACTCAAAATGCGGTAAATAGGGATTTTAAAGACCGTGGTGATACCAGTTCGCGCCTTCAATTTCCTCTTCGCATCTTCCTCTTCATCACGGGGGGCGTGTCACGACCCAAACCCGCCCCTATGGGTTTAGCACTTTAACCGGTCAGTAATCCATGATTACCAAAGGCCTGCTTAACAGTAAAGACAGTAATACAGAGTAAGGGGTTGGCGGAAGCCAAAACAGTAAATAAAAGGTATCTAATGAGCTGTGACATTCTGAATGCAAAAGGACTTTCCTGAACATATTCACATTCAAACCAAAACAGTATATACATACATCATATACAGACATTCAGGTTAGGGACCAAATCCCTAACATAACAGCACAGTGCAAGTCTCAACATTTATTACAGAACAGAGGCAAAAGGGGAAATATAAAACACCCCAAACCAGCCTTGGCTTTGACGCACTTGGAACCTCGAAGTGAGGCACAATGGTTGGCTTTGACAAAACGGGAGCTTAGCCTGACGCTCCTAGCATCGGTCCGGTGCCTGGACACCTACATATATATATAAACAGTGAACTAAAGCCCAGTGAATACCAGTTATGTAAAGAGGTTAAGAATGAATGTCCTTTCAGCAATTAAACAGTCATATCAGTCGTTTAGAAACCATAGCAGTCATATGTGGTACATCCCATAGCAAAACAGTACAGTAGGTCTTAACAGACCAAACAGTCAGTTAATGGCCATCATAACAGTAGCAGTAGTGGTTCCAAACTTAGGAACCGACAGAGATCTCTGTGACAGTAGCAGTAACAGTACAGTAACAATAATTGCTAAGGATGCCACGAATACAGTTTACGAATAGGACAAACATTCGTTCATTAAACAATAATGTTTCAGTAAACAGAACAGTTGATCATTCAGAAAATATTCATAATTGAACATATCTTTACAACATTGTTACTCATAGAGCACTGGGCTATAAGCAGCTAATGAGCGTCCTTGGATGCCAACCCTACACAGTTACAGAATAAACACACATTAAGTTACACACTTGAGAAGCAACAACTTAGTCCCTATCTTGACTCGGTGTGGTTCTACACCAATATCCTCATTAAGATGCCTTAAACATGGCCTAGGAATGCCTAGGATGGAAAGAGGATGTAAAGATGCACTTTAAAACACTTTTCAGAATTTTCAGAAAATAGGGGTCTCGCTTGAGCGTGGCTTTCTACACTCGAGCGGACATGCAGACAAAGGTTCTCCGCTCGAGCGTGACTTCCTTCGCTCGAGCGGACTGTAAACTTCATAAAAAGTATTGGATGCATGCAATTCACGCTCAACGGACGCTCGACCTCCGCTCGAGCGTGAGACTCAGGTCCCCGCTCGAGCGTGAACTTTCTCGCTCGAGCGTACTGTAAAACACAAAAACTTCTGGGTACATGCATTTCACGCTCAAGCGTAACTTTCCACGCTCGAGCGGAAGTGCACGACTCAGAGGGTACGCTCGAGCGTGAAATCCTACGCTCGAGTGTGGGTCCAAAATCTGGAATTTCCAGATTCATCCCCAAGCACAAAACTCAAGCATTTAAGCCTCAAACTCGATCCTTTTGGACTGATTTTCTGGAAAAACACTTTAAACCCATAATACAACATGTTTGAAAGATCAATTTTGTAAAATCAAGCCCAAAGGTAAACCAATTGAACACCAATTTCAAATAAACTTCAAGAACAAGATGTACATGTAACATGCATGTGTTCAATTGAATTCAAAGCTACTAACACATGACCAAATGCAAGTTTTAGCTCAAGAACATGATGAATTCATGGACTATAACAAAAATGTGGACATGCATATGGAAATTCATGAAGAACAACCTTAAAACGCTATGGTATAGACATGCATGCATGGATTCACTCTCAAATTCAACTCTTTAAACCAATTCTTGAATCTAAACACTAATTTACCATAGACCATGCAAGATACGACTCAAATTCACAAATGATAGGATGAAATCTCTACCTTAGGTCTTCAATTTCAAGTATGGAAGCTTAATTATGTAATTCTTCTTCAATTCTTCTAATTCTCCAAGCCAAATCTCAAGATGAAACCAATTTTCTCCCAACTCTGTAACTCTCTCACGTTTTTCTCTAAGAGATGGAGAAATGGTGTAACAAATATGAAAAAGGCTCCAAACATGTAATAACAAAGTGGCCCACTCAATGGTAATTTGGTAATTAACCTTGAATCAATAATTTAACATTATTTAATCTAATTTAATCATTCCAATTCAAAAGTTAATCAAAGCTACCATAAAATCACATAAATTCTAACTAGCATAAAATACCAATCAATTTTTGAATCGGCCGCCGACAAGGCCTTCAATTCTACAAGTCAGAAAACCGAAGCAGAGCATCTGCACAGCGATAAAAATCCAAGATAGGGCCAAAATACATCAAACCAGGGACAACAAACCCCTCTAGGGTTCCAGTCGGCTCCCAAGGATAGGAGAATAAGGGACAGAACTAGAAAAATTAGGGTCAAACAGTGATTTTCGAAAAATCACCCAATTTTGACGAAAAATCAAAAAAATTAGAAAACTCAATCAATAATGACCAAACAATCAAAATGAGATTATAGGGTGATTACCCATTAAATTTCGAGCATACTGTATATTTTATTTTTATTTTTTTTATTTATTATTATTTTTTTTTTGACGTACCAAGAACATTATGAAGCCTAAGGAACAATCTTCAAGGAGGAAGATAGTGCTCTGATACCATGTTGAATGTATAGATAAGAAGAAGAAGAATAAGAAGAAGAAATAGAACGAGAGAAAGCTGCTGTGTATTAGTGATTCAAAAGCATAGGGTTTTCCCCTTGCACACAACTACTTATACTAATAAGAATAATACATAAAGACCAAATTACCCCTAACACTTAACAATAATCTATCCCCTGTGCATCCTTTGGTTTCAACTCCACATCTGTCTACAGTTTGGTCTTTGTATATTTACTTGTGGATTCCAGCCAGTCACCTAATTGATTGTGAATATTCAAATGGGTTGGGTTGCCACTTGGGATCAACAGAGAGAGAGTTTCTGTACCTCTGTATAATTTAACCATGTTCACTAGAGTTAGATGCGCACATGGAGAACAATCGCATGCATGCATGTTTTTAATTTGCAATATTTTATCACTTTTGTGCTATAAATACTAGGATTAGAGAGACAAGGAAGTAATAGCATAGGTTCAGTATATGTTTTTCCTATGGATTGACAGTGGTGTGTTCTTACTTTTCAGGCACGTAGATTTATCACCCTCATCGATGAATTGTATAATCATCATTGTTCACTCTTTTGTTCGGCAGCTGCTTCTATTGATGATCTATTTCAGGGAACTGAAGAGGGAACACTTTTTGATTTGGAGAGGCAAGTTTTTGTTTTTGTTTTTGTTTTTGTTTTCCCTGGGTTTGCTCTTGCTTATACCTGTTACTTATTGTTCACTGTTGATGTGTTTTTAAGTAATTATGCGAGTAATTTCTAGTTGAAAACTCGAACATAAAAACAGTGCTTTAGAAGATATTCTTTCTCAATAGAATATTATGCAAGGAATGTTGATGGGCCTGTATGGAAAAGTCCTGACAATACATCAAATCTGCTCTGCCCCAACCCCTTGTTTCCCAATTTACATTTATGGAACACGCTCTTGCCTATTTGAAGGCATGCATGACCCCAATAGTTTTTACCACTTGCTTGTTTGACTTTTGTTTTAATGCTTCATTGAAGTGTGTAGCTTTCTTATCACCAATTTGCCACCCAACTTGTGATGGTGCGCGGTAGCTAAGTCTCTAAGAAGTACCATACACTTGAAAAACAAAACCCATATTCATCAGGTTAAGAAACCGCTAACTTTATAGTTGTTTAAATAGGATGGTTGGCAATCTGACTCAAATAATGAGATTTAGATGATTGTGCTTGGAGACTGTAAAATGTTTATTCTGGCTACAGTGCTTCTTTGGCTTCCAATATTTTAGAAAAGACTTCTTATGGTTACCAAACCTCAAGCTGTGAAATAAATGTCTTAAGCTCCCAATTGCAATTTAATTTCTTAGAAAACTCAGGCTGATGGACTTCTTTATGCTTCTGTCAATTCATAATGTCTGTTATCACGGATGTGGCAATATTTTGTTTCTTTCCAGTTGTCAAATGTCTGTACAAATTAGTATTTTTCTTACTAAATTTCAAAGACTATGAATGTAACCAATATTGAAAGGACAATCTTCAGTATTCCTAGGCTTTTCAGTACCTCTAACTGTGAATGCAACCAATGTTTTATGAAGGATGATCATTAGTGTACCTAGGCTTTTCAATAACTCTACTGAACCCTAAACCTTGAAACAGTGTTAGCTTCCTGCATTGGTTTGAGGCTATCTGATGAACCTTTTACCGTTGGTAGTAGCATGTGGTTTAAAATCCAGTGTCAATTTTTTTATGCTCTTTCTTTATAGAATGTGCAAGAATGGAACAGAGTTTTGAGTTATAATTCATAGACAACTAATTCAGAAGAGAACATTTACAAAATTTCTGCCTGAATTGATTAACCAATTTTTAATCAGAGTGTGTTACCGTAATTAACTTGTGACTCTATCTAGACCCTCATGGCTGAGTTTAAAAGGAAGCCTAAAATGTGCCCAAGCTTTTATTGAATTGTTTCTGGATGGCTCATTGACTTCTGCTCTCCTTCTCCAGCTTCCAATTTGAAACAGAGATAGAAGGTGGAAAACTCCGTCGAGATGTTTTAGCAGAAGGCAATGTGAGTTCAGGAGGTGCACCTGCTGGGATTATTTCTATGCTATCTGGTGAAGAGGAGATGTTTGCCTTCCGTCGAGCTGTAAGTGCTTTTCTGTTTTACCAACACATTTGCTGTTTGTGATGCTCTTACTCTCTCTCTCACTCTTAAAAAAATTTTTAAAAAAAAAGGAGAGAGAAAAAGAAGATGGAAATACAGACAAATGAAAAAAGAGACACAAATCAGAGATGGAAACTATGATACTCATTATAATGAAAAGAGAACACAAACCATAAATTAAAAGACGAACAAAAGAAAAGAAAAGAATAACTAGAAGAACACTAGCTTTGCACCATGGAGTGAAGGGTTTCTTATTTTAAATTTTAATCAAGGCTTGGTATATATCCTACTATCAGGGATCACGATGATCTTGATTTATGTAATTTTTCTTTGTTGGGCTTAATTTATTTTTTTATTTTTGGCTTGCCTATAAATATTAGGCCTGCTACTAGATGTTAGACTCACACTCTCCCTCTCTTCTCTTTCCTCCTTCCTCCTTTCTATACTTCTCTGCTCTTCATCTGTTTCTTCTTTCCAGTGTGTTCCCTTGTCACTTTCTCTAGTCGAATAAAAGAAAATCCTAATTTTCGATGCTTGGTATATGAAATGAATAGTTGACACTTGGTTATGTAAGTGAACATGAGTTATTGTAAACTACATTTTGCATCTATTAGATATTTGAAATGTTACAAATATACTAAACCATAAAATTTAGAATAAATAAACTATACAATTTAATATGCAATACCACTCACAATAAATTATACAAATTATACAATTTTGTCATCACTGTTGGATGAACTTAGCAATGTAATCAGTCAATGATTTTATTCTATTGTATATTGTATCCTTTGCGCTGCTGATTTATTAATGATTTTCTCTGATCCAATATTTCTGCAAATATTGTCTTTAACAAAGAAATTGTTTATGTAGGTCTCCCGTTTGATTGAAATGCAAACACCATTGTACCTTGACGGAGTACATTACCTTCATCCCTATTTTCAGACAAAGCATGAAAGATATGAGAGCAGTAGGGCAAGCACCTTGCAATCTCAACAATTATTTTGAGCACTATACTTGATGTATGTATTGTATCCCCTCTGACCCATATATGATGCTCATTTATTTTATGTTCTGTTGTTTGTTCGATTATTTCATCATAGCTTTAGTTTTTGCTTTTGTCACATATTTGAGAAGCTATCAATAAGAAGTAATTCTTTTTAAGGTTCATGGTTCCAGACCTCTCTATGGCATATAACCTTTTTGGCTCCTTCTAGCACTCCGGATATGATTCTTTTGTAGGTTTTATGCTTCTTCTTGGTGTTATACCTTGTAGTGTTCGGTTGTTAAAAAGAGTTTAGTTCGGTTGTTGATATTTGAATAATAAGTTTTTGTTCGATTGTTGATATCTCAATGATTGATCTTTGTTTGGTAGTTGATATTCAAATAGACAAAACAGACGAAATGGTGTGCAAATAATAGCCTTCCAAGTGAAATTTTATGAAATTTTAAGGTGGGCTACTTGCATAAAAATAAGGGAGTTTCTAAATGAAAATGACTTCTCGTTGGTTCATGTATAAATAAGAGATAACAGTTTGAGCTCCCAAATTGTGCGAGCTCGACACTTGTTGTAAATTATAGGTGTCGATTTTATATTTGATATGTATATTTTATTTATTTTAAAAAAAAATAGAGATACTTAAAGTGGTCCCCCTCGATGCTCATTTATTCTATTATTTTACAAAAAAAAAAAAAAAAAAAAAAAAAAGGAAAAAAAAGAAAGAAAGAAGAACTAACTTGTTTATTTGTTTTCTAAAAACATTTTTTAGAAAATTTTACTTTTTTATTTTCTGTATTTTTTTTTGTTTTTACTGAATTTTTTTAAAAATATTTTAAGCAATTTTTTAAAATTTTTTTTAGACACTTAACATAAATATACTTAAAAAAGTATAATTTTTGTGAAAAAAATCTTTTAAAAATTCACTAAATACTAAAAATATAAAATAAAAATAAAAATACAAGAATTCAATATATTTTTTCTATTTTTATGAATTTATTAATTTTTTAAAATATTTCTTTACAATTTTTTTATTTTTTAGATACATCTAAGTAAGGTGTATCTAAAAAACTTAAAAAAAAAAATGCTTAAAATTTAAAAAATATTCATTAAAAATAAAAAAAATTCAAAAAATAGAAAACTCAATTTTCAAAAAAATTTATCTAAAAAACTTAAATCAAACACACAGCACTCTTTAAACTGTTTTTCTTGCCATCCATCCGTTTTAAATGCCATAACTATTTTAGATGATTTAAATACGATTGCGTTAAAAAGTGAAATTAAACTTATAGTTTGTTTTTATTTTTATTGAAGTTGAATGTTTTTCATTTTTTATAAATAATAAAATGTTAATTAATAAAAATATCCTCTTTTCTTTCTTTCTTTTTTTTTTTTTTACTTATTCTTATTTTTTTAATTTTTAATTTTTTTATAATTTGACCCCTTCTCAAATCACAATCTTGATTCCACCTGGCTATATGGTTCTTTGGATGTCATTTTATTTCAGTGACCATTGACTTACATACACTAAAAATCAGGGGTCAAAGAGTGTTAATTAATTCAATTTCTTCCACTTTGATTCTTTGGTTGATTCACTATTAACATTAAACACTTTTGAAACTATGCTTTTACTACACGAATTAAGGTCTCGTTTGGGAATAGGCTAATTTAGTAACTTTTTGGCTATTTGACTAAAATATGAACTAAAAAACTAGTATGTTTGGGATGACTTTTTGCCTTTTTACGAAAAGATGTGCAAAAAGTAGAGAGAAAAGAGAATCTTTGACTTTTTGGTATAAGTTGTTGGCTTTTTGGATAATTTAGTAACTTTTTGACTTTTTGACTAAAAAGTTCGGTTGCCAAACGAGGCCTAAGTACTAGTTTTTTTCTATTTTATTATAATGGCATTGGCGACAATGGAAGACAAAATGGATGCCTTGTGAAAAATGAGTGGGATGGTTGAAAGTTTTCAACCTAACTGAGCCACCGTTTGGGAAGTGGGTTGACTTTTTGACTTTTTTGACTATTTTAGCCTGAGCTAGAAAGTTTGGTTTGGGAAGGACTTTTTGATTTTTTGGCATTTTTGATTTTTTTTGTGAGAGAAGAGTGTAATGATTATGGGTTGGATGTAATGTATTGTTTGTTGCGGCTAAAATAGCCTATTTTGTCTTTTGTGACTATTTTAACTTCAAAACCACTTGCCAAACACCACTTGAACTTCAAAGAACATTTCCATAAGAAGTATCCATTATTTCTCAACCTAACTGAACTTTAAAGATGTGTTTTCCAAAATTGCGAATGTTGTTTTGAGATTTCTCACCCTCATTTTGGGAGTATTTGATTCATTTAGTTGTAATTCATTGAGTTTTTTTATAAGAAAAATCTATGGTGTGTACCTTTCAAAAGCGGCAAACATTGTAAGAAAAATATCAACTTTTGCAATAAAAGTTCTGAATGTTTATAGGGTGCAGTGATAAAAATCACGAATATTGAATTTGTGTGTGCAACTTGGAAGTACCATGTTCAGCTTGGTTGTTTTCATTTGTCAGAAAATACTTTTTAAAAAATTTTATTTTTTTATTTTTCGTATTTTTTTATTTTTATTGAATTTTTTTAATATTTTAAGTAATTTTTTTACTTTTTAGACACACCTAACATAAATACACCCAAAAAGTAAAAAAATTATAAAAAAAATCTTTTAAAAATTCACTAAATACCAAAAATATAAAAAAATATAAGAATTCAGTACATTTTTTATATTTTTATGTATTTATTAATTTTTTCAAATATTTTTTCACAAATTTTTTACTTTTTTGATACATCTAACTAAGGTGCATCTAAAAAAGTAAAAAAATGTTTAAAATTTAAAAAATATTCACTAACAACAAAAGAATACGAAAACCAAAAAACTTAATCCAGAAAATTCAAACCAAACATACTGATTAGATTTTTTGTGATGAAAAAAGTTGTGTCATTTTATGATTTATATTATAAAATTTTGTGAAATGAGGATTTTTATAGTACATATCTTAAAAAAGTTGTATGCCATATATTTAAGGGTGAATTACACTAACGGTCCCTATAGTTTGGGGTTTGTATCACTTTGGTCTATGACTTTTCAATTGTGACACATGTGATCTTGAATTTTGAATCTTGTTCCAAATAAGGACAATTGAAGATATTATTGGATTTTTCAAGGGTAAAATCGTTAATTTGATAAAATATAAATTAATTTGACAAAAATAAATGTCAAAAAAATATTTTCGAATTTTTTAAAATTATTTCTGTCTACTAAAGATAAAATTATATAAAATTGATAAATCTTTTAGACATTTATTTATTTATTTTTACCAAATTAATTTTTATTATGTATTTAGATGATGATTTTAGATTAATGCTCCCAATTAGATAATTTAGATTAATGCTCCCAATTAGATAATTTAGATTAATGCTCCCAATTAGATAATTTAGATTAATGCACCTAATTAAATAATTCAGATTAATGCACCTAATTAAATAATTCAGATTAATGCACCCAAATAAATAATTTAGATTAATGCACCAAATTAAATAATTCAGATTAATGCACCTAATTAAATAATTCAGATTAATGCACCTAATTAAATAATTCAGATTAATGCACCTAATTAAATAATTCAGATTAATGCACCTAATTAAATAATTCAGATTAATGCACCTAATTAAATAATTCAGATTAATGCACCTAATTAAATAATTCAGATTAATGCACCTAATTAAATAATTCAGATTAATGCACCTAATTAAATAATTCAGATTAATGCACCTAATTAAATAATTCAGATTAATGCACCCAAATAAATAATTTAGATTAATGCACCTAATTAAATAACTCAGATTAATGCACCCAATTAGATAATTTAGATTAATGCACCCAATTAAATAATTCATATTAATGCACACAATTAGATAATTTAGATTAATCATGTACACAATTCATAAAACTCTATAACTCCAAATACATTAAATTATGTAATCTAGCCTAGAAAATAATAAGCATGTAACAAATTGAGACTAGAATAGAATTAGCATGTCAAAATTGCAACATCCATAAATTATATTTTATAACCTTAAAATTCATGCAAATCATGGTAGGGAAATGATGAACCATACGCATAAAACAAGATCATACTAATACAATTAAGTATGCAAATTATAATAGAGCATTCTAATTAAACTAAGCAATTAGAGAGTACCATTGCATAATTTACAATTATTGAAATAGTGAGCAATTCCGCAACAATTCCTAGTAACATTATACAAAGTTAACCTAATAGTCTATATAAATCTATTCGATCAATTTCATAGAAAAAATATATAACATCTGTTTTAAGCTTTTTGTTCAAAATTGTGAAATTAAATAAATAGATTTATGAAGAAAACAAATTATATACCAAGAACATATGCTGATAATTACAACCAAATTTCAACAGAAATACACAAAAAATAATAAAGGGTAAAGAGACAAAACCGAAGCCTGCACGGAAGCAGTTTCCTTAAAACAGATTTCGCCGCCTCACGGGTCGAGTGCTTGAGGAAACCCGGCGTCTGTCTCCCAGGATATGACGGTCAAAACCAGTTACGGCAGAAACACTATCTGTCTAGCTTAGCGAACAAAACAATGGCAGCACTCTCTCACAATAGGAACTATCAAGCAAACTGACTTGTAAAATGGAAGCAAAAATTTCTATATTGAAACTTGACAGGAGGGTCTCAATTTATACATGTATAGGGGAGAGAGGAAAAGCTTCTAGCCTTTAAGGCTAGTCATTAAAACACCAAGCATCCATAGCCCCTTTCCACAAAATGAAAAGTATGGATGCCCAAAGGATTCACACCCTTTAGCCAAGAAAAAAGATTTAAATACTCTTTAAAATCCTATTCATGAATCTAACATCATGAAGCAATTTCTTGGCAATTTCTTATTCAAAACCCAATGGTTTTTGGCTCACTTGGACCCAACACAAAAAATAGTTAGAACCCACTTTAATATTTAATTAAAGTCACCACACTTTAATATTAAATTAAAGTCCCTAAAAATCATTTTTTCCAACCCCAAGTCATGATGTGTGGCCCAAAAGTTGTGTAGTTAGCAGAACTATTCCTTTATTTATCTTGCATGCAACAGTAATAAAATGAAAAAGAAGAATTAGCAATTTTAAGCAGGAATATAATGATTAATTTTTTGACCTCTTATTGAAATTATCATTATTCTAAATTGATTAATGGTGATTACATCAATATACATTTCGTTCTTCTTTATCAAATGAAACATGAGGATGAGTATTTTGACGGAATGGTCGTTACATTCCAATCTTTATTTTATGGAACCAAACAACTAGAAGCAATGCATATCCAACAAGGGATACTATCAGCTATTTCATAACCATTCATCTTCCGATGAGATTTCCAATGTAGAGGATTCGAGTTGTGCAAATAAATGCTTTAATTACTATCAAACCCTGCAAATATAACACATCCATATATTAGCATATCATTCATCTACAAACACAAAAACAATCCTTGCATGCATACAATACAAGAAGTAAAAATACAGAATAGAAACATGGGAAATTCTAATATTATATACACTCTTTAAAGATGGTGTACCACATGCACCTCTGATTATATCATTTTCTTCTTTAATTATGACATTATTTTAGTTATGACTCGTGAATTATTTAATTATGTCTCGTATTGTGTTTAGTTAAAACAATTTTTTCTTTTTTTAATTATAATTTAGAAAATTAAAATTATGTCATTTTTCTTTTTATTATAAAGTGAATAGTGTTTCCCTAGAAACATTACTTACTGTGCATATTCAACATTGATCTTGGCATTGGGAAATCTGGAGATGGCATTGAAGGCTTTGTTTGAAAGAAGTAGAGTACTTGGGCACGGACTGTTTTTGCAAAAATCAACGACTTGAACAACAATGGATCCATCTTTGCAGGGTCGCTTGAGGCCGCTAATGCAGCGTATGCGGTATCTCCGACCACAGGCGGCACCGTTGTCCCATAAACCATCACTGGTGCCAGCAAAGTATCCATCTTCTGGGAATTGATCTTGGCTGTATCCTCCACACCTCGTTGCTTCATCATCAACAAATAAACGAAAAAAACCACTCCACTTTAGCCTTCATAACAATAATACCTGTCATATATATCTTCTATGGTACTGTAAATATGAGAATATTAAAAATATTAGGCATCGACAACTATGGGAGTTAGGTTTTGAATTTATTAACCAGCTTGGACATGGTGGTGTGTTATAAGATTATGGAGTCAGATGTATCTGAAATAAAAATGATATGTTTATAGATTTAAACTTCTTGTAGTGTGACTCAAAATAAATTTAATCCAGAAATTATTATTTTTATAATAATTTTTGTATACCCAGATCTTTATAATTTGGTCATCGTTGATTTTTGTAATTTTAATTATATCAATTGTCATTTAATTTTTCATATTTGTCAATTTAGTCTAATTTATAACAATAATTAAAAAAATATATATAAATCAAGGGAAAAAATGCTAATTTAAAAGGAAATAGATGGTTTCAAATTGGATAGTTCTATTTACATACCATCATTTCTCTCCGTTCACACCATATTACTTTCTTTTTATATTATTATTATTATTTACTATTGTGTCCCTAAAGCAAATTACTTTTGGACAAAACTTCAAAATATAATCTCTTAGTACACACCACCTACCACCACTATTACCACCAGCCAGTGCCACTGTTGTGAACCCCCTCCCTCCTTTGCCACTCCCTTTCCACCCTCGTTGCTATTCTACCACCCCTCGTTCTTTTAGAAATGAAGAGGACGGCGGTGGCAGTAGTAGGAAATGACAACATGGCTTGGGAGGGGGTGGTGGAGGGGTTGGGGAAGGGGATGACATCGTCGGTTAATGGCGTGTGTGGTAGTTCTGGTTAGGTTAAGATTAACATTTGAGTTTGGAGTGATGAGGGTATTTTGATATTATTTAAAACTTAATTGAGTTAATTGAGACAAAAATAAATTAAAAAATTCAAATTGAGTGTGGCGTGAATTGAGTAAATAATGTGCATTTAGATAGTGCAAATAAAAGCTCCATTTCAAATTGGAGATCATTATCTCAATCACTTTGTCAAGTAGTAAATAGACTTATTTGGCCTTTGATTTCAATCCAATTTGTAAAGAAATATTATCAACTACATTTAATTGACATTGTATGAAAAATCCAAAGATAAAATTGATACAATTACTTACCCAAAAAAAATGATGCAATTAGAATTATAAGGATTAAATACATGTGTAATTTTTATTTATTTTTTGATCGGCTCACTAGCTTTTTTTTTACCAATAACAGTTAGTAGGTTAGTAATTAGAGTACAGTGCAGATTAACGTCTTTTCATAAACTTGAACTTAAAATCTCACACACTTTGGCACCTAAGTGCCCTCCTCATGATCACTTGGTCCAACAAAAACAGTTTACTAAAAAGCTTTTTGTGTTTTAGAAAAGGTGAAACTAAAGAAAAGAAAAACAAGTAAATAAATAAAAATGAAAACATGTTAGTATGGTTAGGGTAGAGGAGGTTATAATAAAATGTAGAAGAAGTATTTGAACATACGCAAGTATGGAGGATCGTAAGATGTGGCGGTCCCAATATCAGCTGAAACCCTCAGAATATCACAACACTGCGAAACCATGAACACCAGTAATGCTGTTAACAACACTAACTTCATTGTTTCTTTCTTCGTTTGTTTGTTGTGAAAATGAAAATTAAAATGAAATGGGTTTAATATCTGAAGAAGGTGCACTTTTGTGAGTGATTCTATATTGTGTAAGTACAAACTAGTATGGTATTTATAGTTGCATTAGATCAAAGCATGACTTGATCTTTTGACCTTTCACCTTTCTGATATTTTCTGGATCCTCTAGTTGGAGCTGACATGATGGAGTTGTTTGGTGAGCTCTTTATAGTCTTCTTTTTTTTTTTTTTTTTTGAAAATTGTGTCAAAATATCCGGTACAACTTCTATTTATAATTTATAATATAAAAATAATTTAAATAAGCTGATTATTGAAAAAAAGATAGAGATGTGTTTTTTACTTCTACTTTTGATTAATAACTTTTAATACATATAAGTTACACCAAATAAGCCCGATGAATATCTTGCCATAGATGGAATTTAGGAGTCCCACGACAAAAAAATATTAAGTAAAACCATATGGGCTAGATTTATTTTAAATATGGACCTCAACATATGAGAATTAAATTTATATTACACTATCTTTCTAGCAATTTTTTGTGTCTGATGTTATGGTCTCTAGCATTACTGATCCAGCAGAAAAACATGAAGCGCAAAATATGAAGCAACAAGAACAATTCAACTCTTCTAAAACTCTGTTAAATTTGACTATTACCATAATTATAAAAAAAGAAGATAAAATTGGTCATTGGCACCATGTAGAATGGTGTCACTATTACATCCACATTGGATGGTAATGGTGATAGTAAGTGTGGTGATTAGTGATAGCGATGATGGAATTTTACTATTTAAATGTTTAAATTTCGGGTAAATTGCACTTACACCCTTTAAGGTTTGGATTTAATATATATCACCATTTGAAGTTTGAAAAATTACACTAACCCTTTGTTATTATAATTATTTAGACAGAATGAAAACATTGAATTCATGCACTCTCTCTTTTTTTGCTTTATTTTACTTCTATTTTTTTTTTCCTTTGCTTTGCTTTACTTTTTTTTTTCAATGTAATTTCTTCCATTTGTTTACTAGGAGTTGTTAACTTTTATATAAAAAGGGAGTTTGTGAAATGAGACTATTAATCACAGGGGTAAGAATACAATTTCTATAATATCAGGAGGTGTGATGTAATCGGACCAAACCTTATAGCGGGTGTTCAACATTAGCCCGGAAGTTGGAAAAACGGGCGCCGGGAGGCTCCGGAAGAGAAATAACTGGTTGCTGCAACAATTGCTGGCCTCCCACCCTTCAGTGACCTTCCCTGTGATAAAACAGAGGTACCTGCCAAAAATGAACGAAAACCGTTGCAAAACGAATGTTCCGGGGCCAAAACACGCAGTTCAGGGTCCCGAAAATGGGCTGTTAAGCATCGAAAATGGAATTCGACCTCGAAGTGGGTTTCTCAACCCCCAGTGTCCCTCAACAGGGAGCAAATAGGAAGTATGCCGAAAGTCAGAGCAAACGGAGGTGGTTAGGAGGTCCCGAACCGAGGCACACGGCCTGACGGCTCCGAAAACCGGGAACCGGACTCCGAAATGGGCAAAATGGCCTACGGCCATTGGGTATTTCTGTCACCAAAACTGCTTCTGGTTATGTTCTTTCTCAGCAAAAATATGCCTCAGAGTTGTTAGCCAAGGCTGGTACGAGTAACTGCAAGTCTTACTCTTCTCCCATGGCTACTAAGTCTACTTCTAGTTCTCTTACTGCAGCAAATGATACTCTCTTTTCTCAGCCAGCTTTGTACAGAAGTTTGGTCGGAGCTCTTCAATATCTTACCCTTACCAGACCTGATTTAGCTTTTGTGGTTAATCATCTTTGTCAGTTCATGCACTCTCCTATGACTAGTCATTTTCTCTCAGTCAAAAGATTACTCAGGTATCTTAAAGGCACCATCTCTTATGGGCTTCATTTCACTGCTGGCCCTCTTCTTCTCAATGCCTATTCAGACTCCGATTGGGCCGGTAATGTTCTTGATCGAAGGTCCACCACTGGTTTCTGTGTCTATCTTGGTCCTAATCTTATCTCTTGGTCTTCCAAGAAACAACCAACTGTGGCTAGATCTTCATCTGAAGCTGAATATAGGGCTTTAGCACAAACTTCTGCTGAACTTAGTTGGATTGGAATGTTGCTTGCTGAACTTCATATTTCTGTTCCTGTGCCTACCCTATGGTGTGACAACTTATCTGCCATAGCTATGAGCCACAATCCAGTGTTTCACGCTCGTACTAAACACATTGAGGTCGATTATCACTTTGTTCGCGAACGCATTGCCTCCAAGAAGCTTCATATCTGTCATATTCTCACTTCTGATCAAGTTGCTGATGTCTTTACTAAACCACTCTCTGTTACTCGTTTTCAATATCTTCAGCACCAGCTCAATGTCCTTCCTAGTCCCCTGAGCTTGAGGGGGGCTGATAAGCAATCTGAGAACCCAGCCACTCAAGCCACTCAAGCAGCCAAACAAGCTACGGTTTCAGCACAGAAGGCTTCAGCTTATCAGTGCATTCTAGAGTATTCTTGAGGTAGTTAGTTTGTTAGGAAGGTAGTTAGTTTGTTAGGCCTTAACCACAAGTAGTTAATTGTTGGTTAGGTAGTTGTGGTCATTATCTCTTGTTATATATACATAGACCATCTCTGTATGTTGTGTGTAAGGAAATAATATCAAGAACTCTATTTCTCTTTAGATTGTACCAGCATATTGTCCTTATTGGAGCAAAATGAACATGCGTACACTCATTTCATTAAAATTCTTCTTTGATACTGCCAAAAAAAATCCTTTAATAAAGTGCACTCTTTTTGTTTTTTGTCATTTAAAAAAACAGTGAACTTTTGTTTTTAGTTATCTATAAATAATTAATAACAAAAAGGTAATGTGTTTTTTTAAACCCTTTTTGGCACTAAAACACACTTCTCAAAATTGGTAAACTTTTTTAGTTTTTGAAAAATTATTATTATTATTATTATTGTAAACGTTTTCAATAAAAGCTTTTAATTACAAAAATTGTATAGCCACTTATAAAAAAAAAATTGTAGAACAAAAATTTAAAAAAAAAAAAAATGGCTTAATTAATGGGATGTGGTGAAATAGTGGTTGACTTTCAATGATCAAGATAATCATAATGGAGAGGTACCTGATGTGGTCAACAATTTGGACTTCTTATTCATCTTTGAATGAAGAGAAGTCATTGTCAGAATAACATTAATCATAATCACACGTGAAAAATAAAAAATTTGTTTTATACATTTGTTTTTTTGATACACGGTATATATCAATAGGAATTAATTTTTTAATATTAATAAAGGCAGAAAACAACATAAACAACAAGTCAAAAACAAAACATTTTGGCCGTGTTTGATTTGCTTTTGTAATCAAGATTTTAAAGATAAAATTTTTAAATTATTTTTTAAAATTTATAACAAAACATACAACTTAAAATTATTCAAAATTTAATTTAAAAAATAATTTCAAAACTCATAACCAAACAAACAATTTAAAATTCAATTTATTTTTTTTTTAAATTCAAAACCAAACTCTTTTCAAAACACTATTTTAAAAGAAAAAAATCAAAAAATATATTTTTTTATTTTGTTTTTAAAATTATTTTTAGAATCATAATTTGAGCGTAAAGTCGTGTTTTGAGTTATGAGTTTTGAATGGAGTTTTTAAAAGAGTAAATTTGTTTAGTTATGAATTTTGAAAAGGGTTTTGAATTGTATTTAGAAATTTTTTAGATTTATTTTTTTAAGTATTTAAAATTTTCTTAATTTTATTTTTTTTAGAATAAATATTTTATATTTTATGTTTTAAATATTTATTTATTTATTTTACATGTTTCACGAAGTACTGATTTAAAGTTGTTTCATTTCGAGAGAATTATTAGGGGTGATAACATGATTCGGTACTTAAAATTGAATTAATTAAGGAATCAATTAAATTCATTTGATAATCAGAATTGATATTATTTAAAAATTTAAGTACCTTTTAAAATATAGACGAAATTTTTTTAAAAATTTAAGTCATATAAAATATTCTTCCATTCTCATAAATATTGTGAGGATTGGGCTTGCTTGATTCAACTTCTAACAAGGTAAAAGTTGGTAACAGAAACTTCTCAAATGCTTCCTGACATTAAAGTACTTTAAAATATATATATACTAGTGTATGCTCGTATTTAAAGGCACGGTGTAAATAATGTTCGGTATAAATCATATTGGGATTAAAATGTAATTATAATTTATACGTATCATGTTAAAATTCATGAAGTCTGTAGCATTTTTGATAAAGATATTAAAAAAATATTAAAAAAAATATTCTTCTTCTTAAGAATTTGTAACAATTTTACTTGTACCTTACGTTGTACATAACTCAAATAAAATAATAACTTCCCCTAGTCTTAATGCAAATTAATAAACAAATATATAAGATTTATAATGTTCCTCAATATTACAAATCAAAATATAAAAGCAAGTCAAAAAAAAAAAATGTAAACACTAAACGAAATATACAAATGAAAGATATTATACAATTGTTAACGTTCTATAATAATAATAAAAAAATTACTAAACACCAAATAAAACATACCAGCAAGTGCTTTGCATTCTCAACAATTTAAATTAAAAATTAAATATCAAATAATGCATACCAACATGTACTTTACAATGCCAAAAAAATCAAATATAAAAGAAAATTAAATACCAAACAATGCACACCAACCAGTGCTCTGCAATTTTAAAAAAATTAAAATTAAAATGCACACCAGTTATAGGGAGTTGATATTACAGTTCGGTGAAGTCTCCATTCACCTATGAAGTATGAGAAAAAAAAGCAAATTCATTAGAAGAAAATTAGATATGATAATTTAAAAAAGAAAAAAAAAATTGATCAAAAATAGTGATATTGTCTATAACTGTTGTAGTTCAACCTAAGTGTCTAGTCATATAATTTTAAGCACCAAGAAACAAAAAATTAGCAATACTAAATTACTTGTACATTCTCGAGAATTTTCATAGAACCTCAAAAAATTTACCATTTCTGCAATCAATTTACCATTTCTTTT